TATGGGGAGTGAGTGAGTTCTCACTCTATTAGTTTCTACGAGAGCTTATTAGTAAAAGGAGCCTGGCACTACCTCCCTCCAGCCCCCCCTGCCTCCTCTCTCTCACCGTCTGATCTCTGCCCACCCTGATTCCCCTTCACCTTCCACCATACGTAGAAGTAGGCTGAGGCCTCACTCATGCAGATGGCAAATCACTTTTGTTTTTCTTTATACATTCTAATCCAGCCTCAGGTATTCCTTCATGGCAACACAAAATGGACTAAGGCAAATCCCCTAATCTAACCCTTATTATTTTTCTCAGTACAAATACTTCAGTTCAAGACAGAAAAGGTAAGAGCTGGTAAAGAAGCACATTGCTACACTTTCAGTGTAATAGACCTCTGCACCAGGTTGAAAACTTCTGGAAACACTTTAGGTCTTTCATTACAATTAAATGCCATGGTCTTTAGCTAATACTTCTCTGAACTATGTACATGAACAAAATGATACATGGATGTCTCTAAAACAGAAGATAAATAATTGTTCTTTGGGCTGCTGTTCATTGTTAATGATATTTAGAATTTTTATATTAGTGTATTTTTTTCCTTTATTGCTCCTATTAATGACTATGCTATGTACAGTAAAAACCAGGTTTTGGCCCTCTGGCATCCATTCACTGTACTTCCTTTACTAATTCCCCCTTTCTATTTTGAGTATCTTCCTTCCCGATTCTCCATTTACAGCGGGAATGGCAAAAAAATGACTTCACACTCAACTCCATAGATGTCATGTGACCTAAGCCCAACCAAACAGAACTTCAGGATCTTCTGGCCACAGTGATCACAGTGATTTGTTTGGAGAAAGGCATCAGAGATGATGGGTGGCCATTAAACTCAATGAAACTTTTGGATCTTAATTTAAACATCAGGAGATTAAATAATTGCTATAATCATGTAGCCCAAGAATTAATCCAACATATAACAGAGAGCAGAGCCAAACCAACAGGGTCCCAGTATCCCTGTTAAGTAAAGCCTTGCCTGAAATCAGATATGTTGGAATGTTTAATTCCATTAGTGAATAAATTCCCTCTTGACTTAAACCAACTTGGGCTGGGTTTTCTGTCACAACAGAAATGGTCCTGATATCTGATAATCATTTAAAACAAATTCATTCACCAACTTGTCCAGTGGTTCTGCCACACTACATTATCTGCTGCTCAGCCTTTAGCCATATTGTAGTCATCCTTAAATTGATGTATCATTGCATTACATTAAAGTAGAATTATTTTCCCTTCCAATTCTTACCCCTCATTCCATTTGTTCACAGTATTCTTCTAGATTTAAGATCAAATAACCACGATTACTCTACAATAACTTGCTGTTTTGCATATTTGAAGATAATTCTGAAACACAATCTCTACAACCCCTTACAATGATTAACAGTATTAAACCATTAAACTAAAAGACCAATAAAGTTTTTATAAATTCCAGGCAGGAAATAACTAGTCGCTGACTTCATGAGTCCAGTGAAGAGAAACAAGTTTCAAATAATACCTTGTATTTAAACTGTGTGATCACAAGTGTACATGAAATGGTTTATATGAAAGTTTAATGAACTTTACTCCATTCTAAAATCTTGTAGCTCAGCAGCCCACTTTGGGCTACATAATTTATCCATCTAGCTGATGCCATCTCTAAATTGAAAATGTGTTTCTCTCTTACTAAAAATATTTGGGTTGCCTCTGTGCAAAGTGAATATGCCATTTTCCACTTAATCAGAGCTAAACTAAGATTAGACTATGAGGAACACCCCAGATCAGGCATCTGGGACTGCCTTCAAAATCTGTCTCCATTTGCTCATCAGGAGACCGGTATATACCCATTTCTCTTGATATTTGACTTCTCTACTAGAAGCTCAGAGACGACAGGAACCCAAACTACCAACCTCTTAGGGTCAGGGTAAGAATTAAAGGTGATGTTGGTCAACTAACGAAGCAATTTTAAATAATTATGAAAAGAGGGGAAGGTGTACTCTTTAACTTCTGACATATATTTATAGATTTTTAAATCCTCCAAATTGCTTCAAATCAGTAATTTGGTTTAAGAAATAGCATTTTCTCATCAGTGAGTTAGCTACATGATTGTATTTTCTTCCTCTCTGCTTCTGAAAGAGAGTTCAGAGCCCCCAGAGCTAGAGTTTCTGGCAAAAATGAGACATTCCAAGCCTTCTGGGGACACACTGTGTGTACCCTCATCTTGTGCAGAGAGAGTACATTACTGAAAAGTGTATGCGATGGGTGGGAAACAGAAACAACAGGCCCCAAATAGCCTCAAGCTGAATTCATTACCTGTGGATTCTGTGCTAATGATTTGGGGAATGCACTGATGCTTAATATTTTATCTGTTTAGCACCACTGTAAGAGCTAGCCTCTGAAGCAAGCCCCGCACTGAGAATCTAACATCTGAAATTTGTTCTGGAAGACACTGAACTGTGCAGCAGTGAGGCACATTGGAAAAGAATTATTTTTCTCTTTGGCTCCTGCTGCTTCAGAAGCAAAGCCAAAGCCTTCAGGAAATGGGGCTGTCTCCCAGAGCATAGCTAGTCTGGGGTCTAGGAGGGAGCCTCTGAGGAGAGAGTTCAGGTTGCCATTCAGAGCCAGGTTCCCTGTCTGATGCTCATGGTCTTTTGTTCACCTCCTGCTGGGAGGTGGCAGAATAGCAAGAACTGGGGCTTTAAACTATGGGTGTGATTTTTATCGTGGATCCCACTGACATCTTGACGTCAGGAGAGGAATTCAGGTAAGCTCTGTACACAATAGGCTGGGATAGGAAGGGCTCCGAGAGTGGCAACTGAGTATTGGGTTATTCTTGATATTATTCCTAACATTCACGTAAGACCCAGTTGACTTCAGTGGCCTTACCACTGAACTCAATGTTTAAGAAAGAAATAGGGAGAATCTCTGGTTCACATGGAGTAAAGTAGAGAAACTGCCATAATCATCCAAAACAGTTCATGCAAAACAGCATTTTTACATAAAAAATCCAGATAATTAAAGTAAAAATTAACATGTTGGTTGGGCTTAACTGGATAGTCACCATGATTCCCCATTTAAATTTTCACATTTTAGAATTATATGTTTCCCATCTCTTCCCAAGATAATTTGGGGTAACTAAAACCTGTAGAGTAAAATACAATATGAGACCAATCAGGCTAGTAAGAATAATAGCTAACATTTATATAGAGCTTACTGTGTTTCAGGCATCACCTTAAACACTTAACATTTTTAAACCCCTTACCAGGACTCTAAGAAACAGGTACAATTATTGTCTCTATTTTAGAAATGAGAAAACTGAAGCACAGAGGAGAAACTTGTTCAAAGTAATACAGCCTAGAGAAAGCGATAGAGCAGAATTCAAACTCAGGCTGTCTGGCTCCAGTCTGTGTTCTTAACAGCTATGCTATACTTCCTGTAAGGAGAGCAAGACAAAAGTAGATGGAGGAAACACCAGGCAGTTACCAGAGGAGGGCCACAGGGGTGTCTGTGAGTCTTCAGGATCAAAACCAAAAGGGACCCTGGATAAGTCACAAATGCTGATAAAAGGCGAATATATTAGATGCTCAGGACACACACAGAGACACACAAGCACACACACACACACACACACAGCCCAGCTGGGATGACTGAGTTCTCCTTCTTTTAAAGTAGATGTTTTGGTGGGACAGAGGAGAGGGGTAGGAGAAAATGCCTTTCACCACAGCCAGGCTGACAGCAGCAAATTACATAGGGCTATTTGTTAAACATGCCTTCAAAGCAGACCAAAGGTATAACATCAAAGCACCAAATCTGAATTTACAAATTTAGTAAAACTGATTCTTCAAGAGGAAGGAAAACCAGTAATATGCAAATAGTCATTCTCTGATGGTCTGGTTTGATCCAGAGATAAAAATCTAGCACATCTAGTGGAATAAAATAACTGCGTATCTTCCAGGCAATCAGTAAATATTATTTCTCATGAGAAGGTTTTAGGCAAATGTTGAGCACAGACGAAAGAGGGAGAAGCGTTGTATTGCTAATTAAATCTATATGCTTCTGAAAAACCAACTCAGGAGAAAGCAAAAAGAAAGTTCCCCTTAAGATATTAGGGGGATATGTCCCAGAGACTTATTGGAGAGGTCACTCAACTGCCCTTATGGGTCAGCATATCTACATCACATCCTATATTTTTATTTTAAAAAATGAGATCAATCTTAAAAAACAAGTTCTTATTTTAGAAGCCAACTGAACTCATTTTTTAAAGTGTGAAGTAGTATATTTGTATTTTTTAAAACAAAATGTAAAAGCTGGTACTGAGGTTATGCATGAGTGCAAAACATAACAGACAAGGAATATAAAATGCAGGTGACTGCTTTACTGCTGTTTGGTTTTAACTTTAATATTGCCTGTACTGCACCTTCTCTCACGGTGCTAATAACCCAAACTAAGGCCCTGGAGTTGTATTAAATGGGCGATTTCACTTTTTTAAAAATCCAGGATAATCCCAGGTCTGGAACCTTACAATTCAGTGTGAGATTTTTCTGAAAAATGAAATTTACAGATTAGTAACTTTGCTGTCTCATTTATCCCACCCCTACTTCCTCACCCTCAACATCAATGAAGTTGTGACTTACTGGTCAACTATTAGTATAGTATCCCAATTACCTTACCTGCTAGGGTGCTCACCAACTCTGTTTCCTTAAGATTCCATAGGCTTACCCCTGGCAACAGATTGCATAATTTCGCTGACTGCCTCATGCTGTTCTTGAGGAGAACGTTTTTGCTCTCACTGCAAATGGCTGTAAATCCAGCCCAGCCTCATCCTGACTTCAGGTGGACCTCATCAGTTGTAGGCATCTTATCAGCACGAGACAGCCTCTCCTAATAGCTTGATAAATATTCCTGCCTTCCTAGAATCAGTTATTGAGAGATTCAAATCATGATCAGTACTTAGAGCAGCTATTACTACAGACTTAATGCCAGTTACCTTTTGTACTTATCTCTGTAACCAGAGAGGCTGAAAAGCTCTTTTAATGTCTCCACTCCTGGTCACGGAAAGCTGAGTTCATTCAAAATTTCCTCTGGCCTAGGCAGCTTGCAGGCCTGTAATAAAAATTGAAGAAGACATGTGTATGAATATAAAATAAAATGTATGTTTCCCTGGCATCCACTTCCTCCCCATAACCCTGCCCCAAATTTGGCACCAGGGCAAAGAAATGTTAAGTCTTAAATGGTGGGGCAGAATGAAGGTGGAAACAAACCTCACTGCCTTTGGGTTAGTTCCACATATGACAAAATGGTTTCAGGGGCATATGGCTTTTGCCCTTCTGTCTCTTTGTTTTAATGAAATTGACCTACAGAGTCTGAAATCCAAAGAATGTAGGGTTCTGGATTTATGAAATTTTACCAGCAGTCTATGGAAAACAAGTACTTTCTTCTGAGTGGACCTAACAACACACGTTTTATGAAAGTAATTATAAAACCTCAATTGTCAGGAAGATAAGAGGAGCTGTAAGGTAAAACCTTCACGCCTCTTCATGGGAAATGGACACCATGTGATACATAGAGTCTGGAAACTTTTTTTTTTTTTTTGAGATGGAGTTTTGCTCTTGTTGCCAAGGCTTAGTACAATGGTGTGATCTCAGTAGCTGGGATTACAGGTGTACGCCACCATGCCTGGCTAATTTTTGTGTTTTGTTCTTGTTGTTGTTTACTTTTTTAGTAGAGATGGGGTTTTACCACGTTGGCCAGGCTGGTCTCGAGCTTATAACTTCAGGTCATCCACCTGCCTCTGTCTCCCAAAGTGCTGGCGTTACAGGCATGAGCCACCACACCCGGAACTCTTTTATAAAGAAAAATGGCAGAATATAGGGACAGTGGTACCTCCTCAAGAAAGCTAAAAGGAATCTAAGGCTTATGAGGCCACCCTTCAAAAAGTAAAACCACACACAATTTCAACATTTACAGTGTCATCACTTATCGCTCTACATTTTACAGTTAACTGGGTCCTCTATGCAGAGAAGCAATGCTCTACAGAACAACAGACTTACAGCTTTATTTTTCTAGAACTCACACCTGTGTACAGTAGTCTTTGTGGTCAAAATTTTTCTTTTTGTGTCCTCTTATTGACCCTCACAACAGCCCGTGGAACAAGGAACATATAAATATCCCCGTTTCATTGATAATATCATTGAGGCTCAGGCAAAGTTAAGCAGTTTGTCCATGGCCATGAAATCACGTGGTGATGGAGCATATATGGTGGTTACATGCACAGCTTACAGGGCTTTAGCTCCTCCGACTGCCACGCTGCTATGAAGGGTACCAGGGCTGGAGCTGATGGATGTGAGAAGGGGACTAGCCATGAACCAGAGTGTAGATTGACCTGCCAGTGGCCGCTTCTGAGGCACACACTTCTAATCTAGCCCGAACTTTGATTCATATCCCTAGTCGTCATTTTTCCACAAAAAGAAATGAACCCAAAAAGTATCTCCTTTTATATTGCTTATAAAAATGTCCCTTTTACAGGCCTTCGTTTCCTTTCTTCATAGGGTCATGCTCTTTCCATAGTAAGCAGCTGCAGTCCCTTGGTGTCTTGTCAGTATCTGAGACTGACCTTCCCCGGGAAAGTTTCAAGATCTGTCAGCCTTTGTCTAAACTCCAACGGTGTGTCAAGGTGAGAGGAGGTGGCAAGGACTGAAGCAGAGATCTGTGTTCTGTTCTGGGTTGTGGAACTCCGGACTCCTTGTCCTCTCCCAGGCCCAGAGACAAGCCCCTTGAACCCTTCTGACTCAGTTTATCTGCCGTGAAGCAGCACTAAGAACTATGTCCTACCTGAGATAACCTGTGAGAGCAGTCGGCAGAGACGGTTCCGCCACCCGTGGACAGCAAGTGAGCTCAAGATTGGAAACTGGCCTCAGCACATCTAAGGCCATGAAAACATCTTTGCTTAAGCTCTTGAAGAAAAAAGGTTAAATTCCCCCTGGCCACTTTTTTTCTGTAAGTGGAAAAACTTGCTAAATATGTGACCCCATGGTTGACAACTGTATAACTGTGGAACTGAACAGATGGCAGTAAAATGTGTTCCTCTGGTTTTCAACACCTTTCAGTGCCATACTCAGGAGGGGGAAGTGCCATTCACTATTGTCTTTGAATTCCTCCTGCCTTCTGCCCATAATGAGGGAAGAAAATCCATGCTGGATTCTTCTTTCGATAGTATAGACAGGGCTGCATTCCAAGTCCTTCTGAGGCCACTTAGATGCATTTCATCATTGTGACTATTGTTTTAGGTTTCATTTGCTCACATCTCAGCCCCACCAACAGGCCTCAGCCTGCCCCATTTCTTTCCCTCTGAAGCTTTTTTCTCACAACAAGCCAGGGGACAGTTTACCTCCCCCTACACACTAAGGAACTAATGAAAAGAACATGTCCTGACTCAGTAAGCAGCAGGTTTGGTGATTCTTTTTTCTCCTTGGCATTCATGCTCTCATCCCCAAATAAGATTTATCCATAAACATTTTCTCTCTTCCTAATTCCACCGAAATACTTAGTTCGTTTTCATTATTATATCTCATTTCCTATCTGGCACAAAATTTTTCTCATTGGTACATATCCCTCTTATGTGGTCCTTGTATCCATTATTCAAAGTTGCCTCCCCTACTCCAAAAATAAAAAATAAAACAATATTTCTGTTAAATATTGTTCTGTTAAACATTGTTAACTGTTCTGTTAAACATTGTTTAACAGAAATTTCTGGGGCAGTATGTCAGCTGGCTTTTAGTTTTTGTTGTTCGCTGTCTTCTCTAGATCATCCCAAGTGCACCTTCACACTGACTCTGACTCTCAGGAGGGCTGGCTGAAACTTCAACTTCTAAATGAAATTAGTTCTTCTAAACAGTAATACATTCTCCAGCTCACCCTATGAGAGGCTTCCTTGGCAGGACCCCATGCGGGAGAGAACACCAATGAAGACAAGTCAGCACCATCACGACCTCCACAAAGACAATGGCTCTCTGATTCAGGCCTGAAATATTTGCTGTTGATGGTGCAGAGAAAATGTAAGGCTTCTGAAAATGACTTTTCAGAAGATTGACTCAGAAGTAGCTGAGTCAATCACCTGGGTAACAGGGCAAACAGACAGTCAAGGAAAGAAAGAAATTTAAACATAAACCAGTGCCACCCTCATGCCAATGGGTGGCAAAGAGCCTGAAGCAGTCGTAAAACAAAATTTTGAATGGCTCTAAGATAAAACAACAACATGCAAGGAGGGAACTGTAACCTTAGGGTTTGGAGAAGTTTCTTTAGCCTGTCCTGCTGTGATCCTGAATGTCTGGAAGTGATTCCTGAGCTCTTATCCAGATTATTTGTAATGTACCAGTTCAAACAAGGCGGGAACCAGCCCAATCCATTTCACAAACCCACATCAGCCTTAGTCCTTCGTGAGGTGTGGACTGTGCTAGTTCACTGTCCCAGAGGATGAAGGCTGGAGGCAAATGAGTACAAGAAGCTCTTCTTTAGGTCTTAAAGTCTCTCAGGCTTCAAGACAATTAAAATCTGACCTGAGGAAAATTATTAAGGAGATGATGTTGTACATTTCTAATCTCTACCACTCTACCATATATTCTGCTTGGGGCTAAATATTTTGTGATACTAATTACTTTCTTCTTTCACTTTTTTTCCCCACTACCCGCTGCCCCATTTGCTTTGCCCCAGGGGAAGTTTATTTTATAATCAGAAAGTAGAAAGTCTCCAAGGCTTTCTGGCTTTGCTTTCCAAAAGCCTAAACTTTTAGAACACAGTGAGTTCACTGGAGAAGTAGAAAGAAGAGAAGGAAGTTTATAGGCAGAAGCAGAATAGCTTTGGAGAAGCCTAGGAAGATACCAGAGTAAAACTGATTTTTGCATGGCTAGAGGTAAGAAATCAGGGAACAGAGCAGTTGTCTGATTCCAGAAGGACAGAAACTTGGATCAGCTTTCTTTCAGGCAGCACCACAAGGAGGGGTTTAGAGAGGCGTGACCATGGGATCGATCTAAGAGTAGGCACAGTCTCTGATGTTCCTTACCCATCTCTGCTCAAGGACTGAATTTCAAATCCACTCTTCCTGTGGTTACCTCATTAGACTTGCTAAGAATTTTCATGCAGCATAGCTGCTATGTGAATAGATTTCAATAGCAAAATGGAGATTGGCAAATTAAAAAACCCTTCAAGGTTTACTTTTTGTTTCTTGTTTTTTTCCTAGGTGATGGGCTAGTTGTTCTATTAGTTTTGATCATTTGTTGACTCACACAAATGGCAATTTCATATGGTTCACAAATCAACAAAAAGTAGTCTATCTGGCAGGTGCTGACCTTGCTGGGTCAACAGGAGAGCTCTGCCTGTTAGAGGGTTTCCCTAAGCAAAGCTCCTTCACGTACTTGCTGTTCTCCTGACATACATGGAACACCCACTGAGGGCCTTGCTGTGATTCCTGGCAGAGGAAAAGGGAGATCGGGTGTGAAGGAGAGTTAGGTAGCTACAAGCTGGGAGCAAGAAGGATCACAAGTTAAAACACAAATCTACTTGGCAGCCTTTTGTTTCCTCTTGGGGAGGCTTGGCTTTCCTAAACAGGGTACATTTTTTCCATCTTTTTGTTTCCCATCTTCAAATGTATGCTGTGTTTCTAAGTATATCTCTGAGCAACAATGAAGAATAAAGTAACAATAGTCCCTTAGCTGCAGTGAAAGCAGTGAAATAAAACCCTTTCATTGATGTCAAGAGAAAAAAAGGCTCAAGACTTGGGATGTTTTCAGAATAAATCACTTTTAAAATATTAAGAACTAAGAGTTGTATTTATATCCATGAGATTCCAAGGAATAGTGGAAGAAAGGACATATCTCCAAACCTGATCTCAGATCTCTGTTGACAAGCAAAGCAGAGTTTCACAGAGCCCATTTCACTTGGATGTATTTTACCTTGTGACTGTCAGTCAGCTCCAAAGCCACCTCTTCCAGGAAGTCTTCCCTTATTTCCCCAGTTACAATGGATTTCTGCCTTCTCTGCTTTTCTGTGAAGTTTTGTGTTAAATGATGAGATTCTTCCTTGGGTTATTCAAACACCACTCATCTATG